TGGTGAAAACCCGGTTCCCCGAATAAAGTGACTCGTTTTTTACGCATCGTTGTGGGACTGAGAGTGATTTTCGTGGATTGCGTTCTACGTCACCTAGGATTAATTCATGTATGAAACTCACTAGGTTGTTAGTCGCGAGTTGTTGTTGCACTAATTTATGTTTAAGCGGTCTTTTAGAGATTTGTTTACCTGAAGTGTTTACAGTTCACTGCAATCCATTCTATAACATTACGGTCATTTAAATATCGAATAATCGTAGTTAAACTCACACACACACACACACACACACACACACACAAATCACCGTAATGGAATGAATTTGGTAAATATTTTCACTGAAGAGTGAGGGACAGTGTTATTTTTTATTCTTTAGTTTGAAAGTTAAAAATTTGGAATGAATTTTTTTTGTATGGATTACGCGAGAGAGCTGAAAGGCTTTTCTTGCCAAACTGATAGTCATGTTCAATATGACCAGTCGGACGTTTCAAAAGTGTTTGGCACGTTAGTTGGTGGAAAAGGAACAATAATCAGTGAATCTACAGATGAGACTAACTCAGCAATATGTCAACCTCCGATTCCGTAAACGGGACCGAGGCGAAAAGCAGCAATTCTGGGATCCGACAACCGAAAAAGTGGTTTCCAATTCCAACCGACGGAGAAGAAATCTGATGCAGCGTGATATGCTACTGTATTGCTGAACGGTACCGTTAAACGGTGTCGGAAATCATTGAGGAAGCTGATTGAATCGTTGCAGTGAATATCTATTGAATAGGATTGTTTTCCACTAAGAAATAGTTTAAACAGGACCTTTTTGTTACAGATCCCTGTGGGATGAACAGTAGACGAAGTAAGCCTCATTAAGAGTGAGGACCTATCATTCACTCATCAGAATTGGCCCCTATTCTATTCTGGATGGGTCTATTGAGTCCATCACTGTGGGTGCCTCACTTCTTTCGTGTTCTTGTGTCGCACTGTCCGTTGTGATTAGCGATTTTGTCTTCGTCTCAGGGTTGTTATCTCACTGAGTTGAAAAATCACTTTGACTGTAGTACACAGACGTGTACAGATGCAAACCTATGTTTCTGACTTCTACGTTCAAATTCCCTATGGGAAAACAGTGTTTTCACTTCTCATATATCTACTTTATTCGTTTGGAATTGAATTGACCGTGGTTTACCAATTATTACCCAAGATGAAAGCGGCCGTTCAGAGCTATTTGGAACGGGGGGGGGGAGGCAAAGGGAAATAAGAAATGTATCAGACAATGATAGTATTACAATGATGGTGACGTATATCTATACCATTTAGTTCTGTCATTGCTAACCGCAATTCCTCCTCCTGCTTATGTGCACTGCTGACGAGTCCCAAACAGGACGAAACAGCTGTCCACTGGTCGTTGTCGGTCATTGTAAATAGTTCCAACAAAATTAACTACATTCAACGAGTCGGATGGAATTAATAATCTCCCGAAGAGTGAAACTCATACCCAAGTCCATCAAGCGGGCCTGTTGCTTGTGAACCACCGAATGGACTAATCCAAACAGGGTGCTCTAAATATGGTCGTTTAGAAGTTCATGGTTTATTTTATTCGCACAACAGATGCACTCTATCTTGTCGTGAAAAAGGATTGTGGCCCGTACGTTTGTTTTGAACAGTTGGTGATTAGATGATTAGAGGGTGAATAATCATACAAAGTGAAGCCTACCGTATACTCATTCCTCGCGGATCTTGGCGATTACCTTTTATGTACTCTGTGGTTTTATCTATTTATTTTATTTTTTGTTTAGTTACGTTCTGTAAAGTCGTGAGTAGCATATGCTTATTGTCCATACACACGCACATAAACAGCCGCTTGGATGAACTGGGACGAAACTGACTAGTGCAATCAAAAACAGTGATGTAAGCGGTGGGGAGATAGAAAGCTCAGTTGTGGATAATTTCACTGGGTAGATGGATGGATATGCGGTCGAACCCGATGGGAAAATCAATTTTTACTTCACTTCACATTTGTTTGCCTAATATCAGCCAATGAATGGACCTCATTTGCCGACAGAGATAATTGAATTTCATTTGCCTTGGTCAGGTTTATGACTGTGTTCTTTGCTGAGAGTCTAAGTTTTTTCATTTAATATGCGTATGACAAATCAAGAGTGAAGTCCGAATATTTTTTCAACTATCATCACAATGAGCTATTTATCTCGATCGGGATTTTCTGTCCGGTTTTAATCTGGATTTTGTCAGACGTGTCCATAATCAAAGCATACCATACCAAACATATCATCACATACTGTATGTATATTTTGTATGGTGAATTCACTATTTTTTCTTCCTCACTTTTTTTTTGCTGTATGTGATTGTACTTCAGCGCAACACAACGCCTAGGTGATTAGATGTCTACGGTGATGCCATATACCCACCGCATGATTTACGTAGCCATTTGATCTTGTTGACATAAATTATAACTTGAACATTTCTCTCTATTCGTCTTACCAAATCCTGCTAGAACCGATTTGGTTGTGCATTCATCGAAGTAGAAGGTTTTCTCAACCGCGGTTCAGAATATATCACTTCTGATTTACACCTGTCTTCCTCGGATAGACAGACAGATACTTTCATATACAGTTTTTGATTACATGGTTGACAGAAGAGTTGTGCTGTTGTCACAACCAAGAGATTTCCGTGATCATCAAAGTTGCTTAGTATTTCTGTTGCCGGGTTTCATGTTTTTCCTAAATGTCGGAAACTTTCGCGTGATGCATTCCGATACCGGTTCTTCCTTAAACTGTACAGTACAACAAATTTCTATACACAACTGTAGATTCCTCTCTAAGCCTTTATATATATTTATTATATTATTTATTTTCATTATATAT